AATTATAATATTATAAAATATTGTACAATTAATAGTGGGATGTTTTTGTTAGAGCTGTTATTTGTTACTCAGGCTAATTGGTTTAGTTGCGTTAGGTATCACGACATAATTTGTCAAAAACATACCAATATTATTATAACATCAGCGTCATTCCATAAACGTCTAAATCAATTTCTGGCGGGTTTCAGATAATGCTGTTCTCCGAACGAAGACATCATAGGACACCATCTTACAATATTGTTTTGTTTTGTTTCGTTATTTCTTTCGAAGCTTTTTAGATTGAGCATTCGAGTGTCCAATGCATGGTTTTGATGTAGGCGCTCTCTTTTCCTTGAGTTGTCTTCGAGCTTCAAAGAATGACTTTGGGATTTGTGGAATGGCTCTGACGATTATAATATACATACAGTCAGATTATTCTAATGCCCGATGCAATTTGCAACATACGCGCAATCTTATTATTTTATAATGCCAGATGGAGGTTGGTCAAAATGCATAACGCATCGGTTATAATGAACCGCTCATTTTATGTGTCCTTTTTATGCTGTTAATTTTATGTTATGATTTCAACTTTTGAATGATTAAAGAAATTGTGTAATATTATTTTAAGGCTTTGAATGAAAAATGAGAAGAAAAAATGTTGTGAATGTTATATTATATCTTCGAATGTGCATGTGCGGTACATTTTTGAATTGTTATGTTTGGTCTTGTTTTCACAACGCCTTTTTTTTTCTGTTTTGAACATAATAATTTTTATGAATTCCAGTATTTATGCAGGTTGAAATATTTTTACTCTTCAACTGCTACTCTTGGCTTTTTAAGATGGTGTTGTTTCTGTTTTAAGTCAGTGGGACGATTAGCTTTTATGTTGTTGTTGTTGTTGTTGTTGTTGTTGTTGTCGCTAGACATGATTTGTACAGAGAAGGGAAACATATAAAGAATAAATGGTGTAGAAATTACGTCTGTGTTCTCTTGTTCTTGTTTTACATCTTTTGTTTTATTTCTTTGGTTTTAACGATATTGACGAAAAACCAACTGGTTTGTGCAATTT